ATAAAACTTAAAACGTAACGATTATTTTCCGAGCAAAAAATAAAACTGAAAACGTAACCATTATTTTCCGAGCAAAAAATAAAACTTAAAACGTAACTATTATTTTCCGAGCAAAAAATAAAACTCAGTTAATAACGATTAAAAAGTGATTTTTATAATAAAACTTATAACCATTACGGTCGCTGCTTAAATCCGCTACAGCAATTATCGACTCTGCACTAAGTAGGTAATGGTAGCCAATATCATGGAATTGGTCAAATGCATGGGGTTCACAAATTAGCGGTATGTACAATAATCCATCGAGTGGCAAATGCCCTGATAAACAAATTGATCGATGTAACTATTTGTTGGCGGGAATTTACGAAAAATATTGCCACACAATTTTTCAACATTGGAGAATTTCCTTAAGACGCAGGGAGCATTGATGGAACTATGATTTGTTAACCGGCACTGAAATCATTTAACTAATGCAATGTGGTTTTTGTGTTTTTGTTACTGAATTATTTCGGATAGATCCAAATAAAAAATCCTTAATTTAGAAAAATTTAGTTATTTATGTAAACATACAGTGGCACAGTGAATTTTTCGCAATATATGCAAAGTTCTTTATTCTAATTTATTTTCGATAACTTTTTATAAAAATATTGTTCATTCTACACCAGAAAACATAATAATAAAATCTCTAAACTTTGTGCAAAACTCAGGAAAATTCATTAAATTTGCACACTAATTTGCAACTTTTTATTCCGATTTTCTAGAAAAATTCCAAGTATGCAGTTTTATAGCCCATTCAAATTTAGTATAACAAAGTGTAAGTTTGAAGTCGCTAAAAAATCGCATTGATTTTTGGTATTTTTTTTCACGCAAGTTCTTCCATACAAAGTAATTCGACGATTATTTTTTGTATGGAGAAAATGGGCAACACCTTCCACTAAAAAAATTGCCAAAAATCAACGCGATTTTCTAGCAACTTTAAACTTGCACTTTGTTATACTAAATTTCAATAGGCTATAAAACTGCATACTTTGAATTTTTTTGAAAAATCTGAATAAAAAGTTGCAAATTAGTGTGCAGATTTAAAGAATTTTTCTGAGTTTTTCACAAAGTTTAGAGATTTTATTATTACGTTTTCTGGTGTAAAATGAACTATATTTTTATAAAAAATTATCGAAAA